AGGAAAAAAGAGTTAGAAAAAGAATCTCGATTCTTTCAAACTTACTTTCATCGTGTATAACTAGATTAAATCTCCTCATCTAGCCGTCTTTTTTCATAACTATGATTTTTCCACATAACCATGTCCCAATAAGCAACATTATCTCTGTCTGTGTTTGACTGTGTGATGTTTTACATTTACACCTCGTTTTTGGCTTGGTTTCACCAAATATGACAAGATCATGTCTTGTCTAAAAATTGACATTCTAAGTGCTAATTTCTCATCTACTTTCAATCACTACTTTTTTTATGTTTTACTACTATTACGAGATGAATAGTTTTACCCTCTACACACCAATGCGTTTGTGTGAGAAGTTAGATTTTAAAGGTACAAAATATCAGTCAATATTATTGTTTCATATGATTATAATAACTCACAATAATCTTTTTTATTTTCATAAGAATAACATTATTTAACACAAGTTTAAAAAATAGTGAGACCATTGTCACATTATCCAATGAAGTTGTGATGCATTTTTATTCATGAGACAACGTAACTATGTTAGCTTCACTATCATTTAGAGGAGTGCTACACACTACTTATCTTGCATTACATTATTTTTCACACTGAGATCTTCAACATCCAGCATAAGAACACTGGAGTATGAGAGAAGAGAAGAGGAGAGAAATCTAGTTGTCTTGGATCTTCGCATAATCCAAGTTCACTTTGCCTTCTACTGTATTACTGAGCTGTGTTTCTACATATTCTATGTATTTGAATGGCCGATACAGTGGACGCCCATCTCTTTGTACTAATGGTGAAGCTGGACAAACAATGGCATCTGGTGCTGGACCATTGGCTTTAACAACTGAAATTCTTGTTGCTTGGTTATTCACAACAGCTCTATGCTTCACACTCTTGTATTTCCCATTGCTGAATATCTGCCAACAAACACCATTTGATTTGATTTGTAAAGTAAAAACTATCCTAATTTCAAGCATGTTTGGCAAAGCTTTAAGTA